GTGTTCGTATAGTATATAATGATTAGCGATGCCTGTGTGTGTGTGGATGTGGTATATTATATTTTGTTTTGATATTGAGTTTGTTAGGATTGGTCTAACACCCTGGAATTAGACAAATGTGGTCAGTGCACACCCCTGAGCGGAGGGAATACCCTGTTTTTAAACCTCCAGGTTACTCCCCCTAGGTTTAATTTTAAAGAGCGAGTTCTCTTCGCCTCGGTTATGTATCTAATCTCGCTATCAATATCCCTCAGTCTCTTGTCTCCTACGGTTCCATAGACCCCGCTTCGCATGTATCCTCATCATACTTCTACTTGGTATGTCTCTCGTGCGCTCCTCGCGCGCTCCTCCCGCTCCTCCTGTCTCCCGCCTCCGCTACCGGCTCGCGCGGCATCTCTACTGTTCATGTAGTTTTATATCGTCAGTATGAATAAATCAATGCAGGTTAAGATGTAAGTTAATAAAAGTAGGATAACCCTAATACATGGATCTTCACTTACACTCTATGCACACACACGTGGTCCAACACGAATAGGATAAAAGCGAACGCTGACATCTCTAAGAGGTGCCCCCTTTTCGTCCCCTAGGTCCTGCCCTCCTCATTCTTTGACATCGGTCCCGCGACGCAACCTAAATCTGTTTACACAGTCACGTGTGGGGACTCGCTTCCCTTATGGGGACAAATTGGAGGTCCCCATGAGGGGAATCATTAGTTTTAGGGTGAAGACTTGGTTAGGATTAGGGTAAGGGTTAGGCATGTGTTAGGATTTAGGGTTAGGGTAAGGGTTAGGCATGTGTTGGTTATGGTTAAGGTTAGGATAAGTCTCCAGGAAATGCATGTAAGTCAATGTAATGTCCCCTGAAGTGATGTATGTGTGTGTGTGTGTGTGTGTGTGTGTGTGTGTGTGTGTGTGTGTGTGTGTCGTGTGTGTGTATGTGTGTGTGTGTGTGTGTGTGTGTGTGTGTGTGTGTGTGTGTGTGTGTGTGTGTGTGTGTGTGTGTGTGTGTGTGTGTGTGTGTGTGTGTGTGTGAGGTAGTATTATTTAGACTGGAAAGCGTCCGTTCTCCAGCTGTCTCCGAGTGAACTGAACCTGTTCTTCCACTTTAGTTCTGTGGGCAGAGATGTTTGTGTCACATGCTCTTTAGTTTCTTCAGTCTCACAGTTTACTCATCGGCTGCTGTACATCCCTTCCACTTCTCCTCTTTCTTACCATATTCTCTCAGGGTGAGTGGTTTCTGAGTTTTCTGAGTTTCTGTTTGTTTGTCCTTAGCAGTCGGTGTGTTTACCTGTAGATGATTATATATTTTATCGAGTTTTGTCTCAGATGATGGATCTTAACTGGGTTTGAAATCAGATTGTTATCTAAAAGCCTCCAGCTTTGTTAGTGAGATCTGTCTTTGTGTATATTCTGCAGAGAAAGGCTATAGTGTCAAAGGTGAGGCCAACCAAATGTGCCAGATTACGCAATGCAAACCCCATAATCTCCTCACTGGTGATTGAGAGATTTTGGATTAAAGGAGGGAGTTAGTTGGAGAACCGGGGAAAGCCCGTCAAAGAACGTGGCTGTTAGAGATTACTGGCAAAGGATTGTTTTACGACCCAAATACTCTGTCTGCTGCAGTTGGACAAGATGCAAAGAAACCACGTTGAAGATATAGTATTCTTTACCATGTTGTTGTGCCAGAAGTGAGATTACACTCGTTTCACGTCCCCTTTTTTTACTCATAAAAATAGACCAACCTCTTTCAGTGGTTTGAGGACTGGCTTACTTAGAAAAATGGTTTGCATTTCTTTCAGATACTTACAGTAAAGTATTTTTAAACTACCATCAGTCTGGGAGGCTGTGGCTCAGTGGATAGTGTGCTGGACTTCAAATCAGGGGTAGCAAGTTCGAGTCCCACTGCAGTCAGCATGTCATTGTGTCCCTGAGGCACTTCACCCCAAATTGCTCCGGTGGGGATTGTCCACAGTACTGAATGTATGTAAGTCACTTTGGATAAAAGTGTCTAACATGTAATGTCTGACAGGCAGATGCTTTGTTCCTCAGGAATCTGCAGCTGCAACATAGTCACTGTGTTCAAAAAGTGTTTGTTGATGTGTTCTCACCCTCGTTTAAGGAGTTTTATACTCCTACAAGTTGAAGGGAGGATCACAGCAACATTATGTGTTTAAAAGCTCAAGTATTTGTGCTTCTTTCGTCTTGTTTAATATGTATGGAACCTCTTCCTGTATCTGATAACAAAGCAAAGGAGGAGGGACACTCCCTTCCCGCCAAATTGTCTTTTATGTATAGAAATGAAACTGATTCTGCCTCTGACTGATGCACATGTGTTTGTGAATCTGTAAGATCTCGCTGTCATTTTGTCACTTTAGCTCAGTTTCATTTGGTGAAATGTGCTGTCAGACAGTCATGAAGATCAGTTGTGCTGTTTAATAAGGTCTTGTCCTCTTTTCCAGCTGAAGGAGGAGAACATGAAGGCTGATCTGGAGGCTTCTCCGCCTTCTGGGCCGGAGGATTTGGCGATCCAGTGTCGAGATGTGGGTCGGTCGTACGGCAAAATGAAGGTCCTCAACAACCTGAACCTGACCGTGCCACAGGGACGAATGTGAGTGCAGCACACTGAATACAATCTGTGGTCATGGCTATGATTTACACACTGTTTTACTTCTGAGTGTTTATCTCTGACAAAACTAAACCAGACTTCAAAAGTGGATTCTTCTTTATCTGTTCTTTTGCTTGGACATTTAACAAGTCTGATCAATAAAATACAACTCCTTTTACAATGGCTGTCTCTTAAAAAGAAGTGATAAGGAAACAAGAAGAAGGGAGACAAGGAGTACATGAAAAAGGCTTAAACATAAACACAGAATTATTGAAGCAACCCACATTTTGATAAGATAAAGTTGTATTGTTTGCCTCCACTTCACAATAAAGAGGCCGCAGCAAAGGACTTTTCCCTCGTCATGCAAATACCTTTTTGCAGACTGGGTTGAGGTGTCCACTTCCTGTCTGAAACCAGTCTACTCATGTCGTTTGTGGTCAAATATCAGCAGGGAGACGTTTCTTTCAAACTCTTTCGCCTTTTTTAATATTCATTAAAAGAGAGGAATAGGCTGAACAACAGGCTGATCATGAATTGTAGTTTTCTTTCAACTCTAACCAGTAAACTGTGGTGAAGAGCGCCATACTTAGAGTTATTCCTGCCTCTTGATTAATACATTCTGGGGGGGAAAGTATAAAGTGTTCCTTTATCCAACTGGTGTTTATAAGTATAGCATATCAGGGTGCAATGTAATCTTCTGCTGTTGTGTTTTGACTGACAGTAACTTACACATTGTCTTTCAGGGCGTGTAACTACAGCATGTTAGCCTGCAGTCACTGTCGAGCTTTATCCAATATAGTCATCTTGTTATCTTAGGTTTAGGTGCTTACATAGACGCTATCTACTTCCTTTTTTTGAAACACTGATGAGGAACTCTTTAAGCTTCTTCAATGAAACAGAAACTACACTTACTCTAACATGCTCCACTGGCTTCATTACACATTTGTGATTACTGAATAATAGTTAGAGCTTTGAGTGTTTGCTACTAATTCCATATACTGTTAACTCTAAAAACACATGATATAATAACAAAATAATAATAATATAATAATAATAGATTTAATTTGTTAGCGCTTTTACAGGTGCTCAAAGACGCTTTACAGATAATAGAGAAGAGGAAAAAAAAGAGAAGAAAGGAACAACAAATAAATATATAGTTAAAGTTAAAGTCAAATAATACAAAAACAATCACACATGAAAAGCCAGATTGAAGAGGTGAGTTTTTGTGAGTGTTTTGAAGGTGGTGAGGTCGGTGCAGTCTCTGATGGGTTGTGGGAGTGAGTTCCAGAGGGAGGGGGCAGCGACGGAGAAGGCTCTGTCCCCCCAGGTCCGGTGATTGGTGCGGGTGGGGATGGATAGGAGGTTGGCTTCGGATGAGCGGTGGCAGCGGGAAGGGGTGTGGTGGTGCAGCAGGTCTGTGAGGTAGGGGGGGGGCTGGTTGATGAGGGCTTTGTAAGTAATGAGGAGGACTTTGAAGTGGATTCTTTGACGGACGGGGAGCCAGTGGAGGTTCTGGAGGATGGGAGTGATGTGGTCTCGGGAGCGGGCGTGGGTGAGGAGGCGGGCAGCAGAGTTCTGGATATAACATATAGTTTATTGAGGAGGTTGGATGGTATGCCATAGAGGATGCT